TCAAAATTGTAACTCGTGTGATTCGTAATTTTTAATGTGTACTTAGTTTAGTTTGACTACTTGCCTTATTATGGGTATAGGATAATGTTATACTCGAAATTAAAAGTATAGTACAAACGCCAATTAGCTAGCAAGGGAACTATTACGTTTTATAAACCAAATCTTTATTTCTTGTAGTCTTAATCCATTTTCGAAGCTAAATTAAGATTAATCGAAGTAATTTCGTAGGAAAGTGCTTAAATTCAAGTATTACAATATTATAGGATCCCAACACAGTTCAGGCATGCATATATATTGTAATATATAATATACTATGTACCAATTATCTAATACTAGCTTTTACCCGCGGCTTCGCTCGCGTCACAAAAGGATAAAAAGCCAACGTGACATATACCAATACACACAGCGCCATCTATACCAATACTTTTGTTTACCCTCGGGAATATCGAATTTTACCGGGATAAAAAGTACCCTATTATTTAATCCGGACTTCTAACTATACATCTGCAAAATTTCAAAGCAATCGGTTTAGTAGTTACGGCGTGAAAGCGGAACAAACAAACAAACAAACTCACTTTCCGATTTATAATATAAGTAAGGAAGTAAGGACTATGTACCAATTATCTAATATTATAACTATGCATTGATTTTATCGTTATTGACTTCCAATGTATGATATAATATGTTGTTTATTATTATTATTGCAATTATTTATGTTTTATTTTTGTTTATAAAAAGTATTTATAAAGTTTATGTTGTCTTTTTTTGCACATTAGAGCTGACTTTATGACTTGGTTATCTCTAGCAGGAACAATGAAATTTTAATTATAATTAACCACGTTCGTAATAAACAAAATCTTGTGAAAGGAAACTATGATAAAGTCGCATGTTGTATTGCAGGGTGCTACAAATATATGTACAGTTGTATTTAACTATTACCTTTCCCGCGGTCGATCGATTCTGTTTTGGTGCTGGTACAATCGAAATCGATCGGACCGAGTCTTAATAGGTACAATTACTTTTCTGAAGCAACTATATTTAGGTTTCGCATAAATATATATGAGGTTTTTCATAATAGTGAAGAAACAACGGTGACCCGAAAATGCTCCCTAGTGGTGTAACAATCCCGAGCGTGCGGCGCGTCGTGTTCCTCGGGCGCCTCAATGAGCCATCATAGCACTATGGATGGGGCCCAAAAGGGCTGATGCCGATAGCCGCAGAGGACTTAACGGGTTGCCGGGGCTCCGGCTCGAAGGGCAGGAGTAGGAGCGGGGTGGTTTTCAGTCAGTAAGAGTCTGACACTCCCTCCCGCCTCGCCCAGGTGGGAGAAGTCATTCGATGATTTTCCCCCTTAAATTAAAAGTAGTGTACCAATGGATTGACTTTTGGGTTAAAGTTAGACAGTGAGTTAGTTGAACAGGGATCAATTTTGAGTTGAACATCTAATGCCAAACGAACACATGTAGTATTATTTTTATTCCAATATACTTAAAATTAGTGCTCTTTAAGAACAACCATGGAGAAACGAAGCTTTTACAATACAAACTGAAGAAAAGTTTAAGCGAATTCGATTGCGAATATTATTTAGAAGTTGCGAGTACAAACATTGCATAAAATAATGTTTTGCTGCCGCAATAGGGGCCAGTGGGATTATGTAATACAATTATCATCAGCAACTCCTAAACCATCTCTTACCTAACCTAACGGGTAACCGGGGCTCCGGCTCGACGTGCAGGAGAAGGAACGGGGTGGTTTTTAGTCAGTAAGAGTCTGACACTCCCTCCCGCCTCACCCAGGCGGGGGCAGTCATTCGATGATTTTCCCCCCTTAAAAAAAAAAAAAAAAAAAAAACCATCTCTTAACTGAAAGTTACTTAGCGTGACATAGCACATAACCTATGGTACTTGTATAGTTAGGTGTCACCTAAAAATTGGCGAAAAGTAAAATGTCACCTGTCTTAGCTTAGGGGTTCATGAGAATAAGCAGTAATGTTTGAAGTGAGCGGGTATAGTGTAGATTTAAGGTCAGCACGCCTATCAAGCACGGCTCCGGCACAGCTCAAACACAGCTCCGGCTTGGCGTTGCTTTGGAAACAATACAAAAAGGTTACAGCTTTTTTATATTGACGTTATGAAATAGGTCATACAACATACGATTTAAAGTTCATATTTAAATGATAAATTAATTGCTGGGTTGGTCCCGTGGCGAAGCCATGCTTTTTAGATGTGCGATGACTTTTAGATAACTCTCGTCGTAGCGCGCTTTAGTTTAAGTAAGGTTAGCCACTAGAAGATGACGGTGAAGTGAATACTTATTAGGTTATAAGTGATTACTACCTCATTATGTATTTGCTTGTAGATTTAGATAAACAGTAGTAAATTTTGCTCATTTTACAACGACTACAAAATAAAACCATGCATACAAATCTTATCCATCTTACTTGTTTGTACATACATCCAATATTTGTAATTGGTTATGTACCTACTTTAAATATCCCAACCAAATTCCATCCATTAATTTTTATACGAATAATTCGGCGGTGTCGAATGTAACTATTGAAATGTTTGCCAAAATGCATGTTTGTAGGTTTTAATTATAGAAGATTATTTTTAATCAACGGCCAAATTTGGATATAGGTATTCATCTTTGGTGAAAATGATTACATTCGTGTTACTTTTAAGATATCACATCAGAAAGGTGTCTGTCTATAAAGAATTGATGTAAGAGTAACTGTCTACCACCACCACATCTCATTCATATCTAAATATAAACAAAATTGTTTTTAAAACCAACTTCATTTTTAAAAATGTAGACAGTAAATGATACTCAATGCCTAGAAAAATTTGGCCGGTGACAAAAAATCTTCCGGTATTACGAATGTACAAAAGACAGCGAAGGAACGTGTAGATAATTTGTTCTAAGTTAGGCTAAGTTTTGAAGCAGGCTGTAGAAAGTTAAGTTTGTAGAGAGATATGTGTCTCGGTAATTGTCCTTAGCCCAAACATTCTGCCCTCTGGAGGGACTAGGACTACGAAATGTCATGGCTATTTAGTGTATTATTATAAGTAAGGTAATCTGATAATTTACGTTTAAAATTGCTGGATACTTCGCACGGGTTCTGTAACTGTCCGGTTGAATTTGTCCTAACAATTACGAAAACAATGTATTCAGTTGATCTAGCCATTCAGAAGTTATGAACTTTCAAATCCTTGAACGTGCTATTTTATTTTGCTCATTGTCAACCAATTACAAATGTCCGCAAGTCCTTAAAAAAGGCTAAGATTAAAAAATTACGAAACGTCTACACATTTTTATTCTGTTTTGTACCTAGAACTTGGGATATCGGCTTGTCGTGTACCAACTGTATTTTTAAACAGTTTTATTTTTACATAATTTAGTTTTAATAAATAATATTTTTAATGTTTATTTTTGATCTTGTGTAGTACAAATATAGTATAGTTTTATTAATGTTCTTGTTAGGAATTATTGAACTCAATTGGTGGTTAGTTTGTGTTTTAAAGAATTGTTTTAAGGAATTGTTTTAACGAATAGACGCTCGCAATGATTTTGGAGTTCCCCGAAATATATTTGGTATTCAATCCACGCTAGGTTGCTTAAGACTATATTCGTTTATTAATTGTACCGTTTATTCATTCCATAATATTTGTTTTTGTTATAGAAGTGCACATTCCACATAACAATTAATGATCTATTTATGATACCATCATTGTATTGCAAGATGAGGTGCAATATTGACTCTTTGATCGTCGCATTAGTACTTACTACACATCAACGTCCTATGAACACATCAGACAATAAGTGCCCATCAATGGCGGTCAAAGGGTCACGAACTTTGTACTTTTATATGTGCAATTATTTATAATTTTAATGGATGTTACTATGTATTTAACCCTTGCCGCATAAGGGGTTATATTTGTTAAAGTATGTGTATGTTTATACCATCATTGTGCCTTGATGTTTATTTTTGATTTAGAACAATTTGTAGATAATCTGTACAAAGTTTAAGAATATGCGCATTGTAAACTATTTGATCGAATGTGCGGTCCCCCGCACACTCACCGATTGCACAACTGGATTCCCCCTAGTCCTTTCCACCATCGTACCACAAGACAATCGGCGAAGCGTCACCGATTCATGGTAGATGTGAACTCACACGCACCAAGCGGTTCGCATCAAGCTTCCTTGTGCGTACTGCTAAGGAGTGGAATTCTTTGCCAGAGTGTGTTTCCTGAAGGGACCTGGATGTCTTGGTTGCTTATTTGCAACGGACGACGTGCTCCATCGTTGGCCACATCATCGCTCCAGGCGAGATAGTGGACAAACGTCGGCCTGTTAAATATGTGTAAAACAATAGAACGAATGAAATAAGTAATTAAATATTTACAATATTATTTTGTGGGGACTTTTTATTTTACTTGGCATGCATTGTTCTCTGAGAGGCCATTCTTTGGCAAGATAGATCTTAAAATATCCATATTTGTTTAATGATTTAGTATTCCAACTATTCAAAAGCTTAATATCTGATGAAATATTATTTTCACTTACTAAAAATTGGGGAAAATTAGTTAGGTACTCCTAATATTGATTTGAATTGTTTCAAGTAAATAATTATTATTAGTGAATATATATTTGTGATGTTTTTAAATTTTAATTTCATATGTCGTTGATTTTTAGATTGGCATTCTTGACTTTAAATAACATTTTTTCTTTGTATTAATTCAATGATTAATGTATTAATATTTGTACGCCAAGCAAAGCGAAACATAGTGTAACAAAACTTGTTTTTTACTTACGAACATCTATGTAATACCACCTATGTTATAAATAAATGATTATGATTATGATATGATTACGATTCTGTTGTTTTTCTTTAATAAAACCTTGTTGAATATTTACTGATGTTTTAATACTATGATGTTCGTCTAAAACTCGTCACTTGCAAGGGGATCATTGGGATAAGACAGAAAAAAGACAAAATGTATTATGATAATAATTTTATTACATTGGGTTTTACCTAGTTACACATCTGAGCACTTTATCACTGTCGTGTCCAACACACAGCACAACAAACAAATAATCGAAACACTACATGAGTAAATCCTAATAAATATATTAATATCTATCAACATCACAGTTTGTATCAATATGCATGACCGGAACACGCTTGGCATTTGTACATTAAACCTACCTATTTAGGATACTGCTTGATATGAGAAAAAATGTCAAAGATCATGGCGAAAATTTTATATTTCTATATCAATTTATATTTATGATCCAAAAATGCTAATTATTCGTTCAAGTCCACGTAAAGTCCGGTCACTTACAACCAAAAGTTAAGTCGGTAACAATTTAGCGAGGATAAATTTATGACTAAACTTTGATGGGAGTCAAATTAATATAAAGATCTTTGTAGGTCAAAATAAGTTACTTACAATTTTTAAATAATATTCATTCAAAATGTATAACGGCTAAAACTTTCTGCTGTGCAATCTTACGGCCTTATATTAATTAGCCCTTTCCTTATCAAATCACAGATCTGTTAACCAGGATCGCGGCCGACAGCGATTTTCACGGAATATCCAACTGAATTATTATCAAAGAGTATCAAAAATTTACGTGAAGCTGCGACATGTAATTGTGTACAAAAAAATAAAAAAAAAACAGTCATGCCTAACTAATATAATGCGTTCAGTTATACTTGTTCGATGTTCAATACTTAGTACTTGTTATACTAATGACCTACTTGTAACTTTGATGTCCTCATTAAAATTAGAATAAAGATTGCAACTGGAACATCGAAGAAGCTTGTCTACATAAATTAATCCTTAGTCTGATTGTACTTTATCTCTAGCAAAATGCCACCTTTTAACTAGCATTCAATCTCACTGATTTAGGATAATCGCTTACGCTTGCTACTAATACTAACGACTTACTATTACAACCGCTTACTGTTGTGTTAACCCGACAACTACAATGAGACCGGTATTTTGTTGCATAACATTAAAACTATCCACAGGGACGTCTTAACCTGTAGTGCAGGGTATGTCAGGCACCCTATTTTTACTTAGTGGGTAGTACGACACAAGAGGGCACCAAGGTATTTATTGCACCCAGGCGCTACATGCATTAGAGACGCCCCTGATTAGCCATACCTATGTATTATTAAATTAACTAAATGCACGTATACATACATATTCTCAAATAGAAATAAATGATGTTAGTTAAAAATGTGAAAAGGCATAATTTATGGATATCAGATAGAAAACATAAGAATGTTGCAAAGTGAAAATGTGATTATCGAGCAGTTAGAGCAGATCAAAGGAGACATAAAACTAATGCTTTAATCCTTCGAGCAGCTTGATACAGATCTGGCAAGAACTTAATTATTCTTATTATCACTAGCTGATCACAGAGTCGTCGGGTACGGTCACCATCAGCTCATAACATACGGCAATATTTAACAATTTATTATCAAAATCAAAATATCATTGAACTAAATAATAATTTAAATACTTAATTTTTAATACTCGATTAGTTATTGCAATAGCTCATGTCACTGGGACTAACAATTAAAATTTGGGAATTAAAGTGTAGCAGAAGCATTTGCTTGTTGCCCATGACAAATATATGTAAGAGTGTACAGATAATTGAATCAGCATGAAATATTGTACCTATGTACGTCTACCTATAACACTATACTACCACTAAAATAAAGCTGTCTTACAATTAATATGAGTCAACAATTCATAATACATCTCTTATAAACTATATGTTAACGTTCCAATGGAAAACGTCCCTCAAAAAATACTTATACATCTACAATATCCTAGAGTATGTACCTAAGAAGAATCGTTGCATTGTTGAATGCGGGACGGTTCTGCGATGGCACTGCTACGAGAGTGGTTCAACGCTCCCGCTGGGTCTTGTTCAGGGCGCTAGCGTTGTGTTACTGGTTACGGTATGGTTGGAGCTGGCCTCAATGCCGCCGGTGCCGAAAGTAGCAATGATGCGCTCAAGTGAAGTCCAAGTACCGACGACAAGTCCCAGGGCACCGAACAGCACGACGATGGCGTTTTTGACAATCATGCGGATCCGTTCAGAACGAGACACGTAGTACCAGTATGTGCAGCTCTGGATCAAGGCGGGGAATGCCAAACCGAGTGCTGATAAACACAGAGCTCCGAACAGTGAGATGAATAGCTCCAGAGCCGGCACAGCTGCTGCGATACCAACTGCACAAAAAATAATGGTTTTAGTTTACTTTCGATAAAAAGCTAAAATGAAGCTCATATGTACCTACATAAAATAATACTCACAAGTCATAAGCACGATGGTAGTCCTGATGAAGTACTCCCAAAGAAGTCTGTGTTTGCTATTCAGCAGACGTATGCCGATGTACTCGTTCCACAAGATGTCTATCGCGACATAGCAGGCGAGTCCGTGGGTGATAAAGATTGCGAAGGCAAGCAGGCACTGGACTACGTTGGCAAGACTGGAAAGAGGAAATATCGATTAAAATTATTGATTTTGTCAATGGACGAGTAATAAGTGAGTCATTAAAGTAGTTACAAGGCCATGGTACATACATTTCTTTATCAGAGGGCAAGTTGAGGGTGATACTGCCTTCAGACAGGTCACCGTATTGCAGGTAGCCGAACAAGCCCATGCCCACGTATAGGATGATGATGCTGATCATAGAACAGTTCAGTACTCCGAACTTGCCCACGAAGTCTCTTGGTGTCTTCATCTCGTTCTCTAAGGGCAGAATCTGCAAAAAAAGAAGTTTTAGTTAAAAAATTTCAGAATATGTAATTATTTTAGTTCACGGAACAAAATATTAAGTCCATGCTTACCACGCCAATAGCTTCCAGAGCAAACAGCACAGTTCCGAAGAACAATGGGAAGTTAGCCAGTTTTCCTGCTGGGACCTTGCCTTCTAGGGTGGGAGTTTCCCTGAAGATGTAGTACAGGATGATACCGAAGCTCACGATGGTTACCGCGTTCGCGATGGCGGAGAAGGGAGCCAGATACTTCAGGTCTCTCACCCAGTTGATTAGTACCAGCGGCAGTAGGACGCACAACATTACTTGTAAGACTGATATTTCTATGCCAAAGTGCTTTGTCAGTACGAAGTAGATGTTCTCCGACACGAAGACTACGTATACACAGCATGTTCCTATTTGGTACACCAGTAGAAAAGCGTTCACCACGTGCCTGTGGAAGAAAAACATAATTGTTCACTTGACCTTGTTTTGCATCGCCAAAGGAGTTATAAGTTTATTATGCAAATGTAAGTACTTTATAATTTCTTGAATAAAATACATTTATTCATACTGCAGTTTGTAAATCTCTTGTGTACAATTTGTAGTGTAAGGTTGCGATTTCGAGAACTCCAGTTCAATGTCAACTATTCCCTCATGATAACTACATATTTGCCGCCAATGTGTCAATGTGTAAGTATTGTACGTACTAATATAATCCAAAACATCATATTTAAAATACCTACTTCTACAACATTGTTAACAAAATGAAATTTTTAACAATGTTATCTGTTTAAGAGTGTTTACAACATTATTCACAAGTTGATAACAATAGCAATTATACGTAGGACCTACTTCATTTGCCAAGGTGGTCTTATTAGAAATCATTGTATAATTAATCTACCTTAAAAAACGTACAACACTAGAACTTTTCTTATGTCTTATAGATTCATTTACAAAGTCGCCACCTTCTTACTACTCTATACTTCTGAATTTACCCGAATTTCTTGCGGAACCTTGCTTGAATCGAACGCTAGCCATGTTGGTGCACGAGTAGGAACTGTGCAGTTAAACTGACACTTTTTTTTATAATATTATAGATTAATTCTCCACGGACTCTAGGTCCGTGCCCTTGTCATACAATTTTTTTATTATAATACATCTAGTCAATTTTTATAAAGTTAAGAGGGAACCTAGTTACACACTACAATTAACTATATCTATAATTATTACTAAACGTATAAATTACATAATAATTAATCCATACAAGTTTCAACACAATTATAATAAGTTAGTTACTCACGCTGCATAAGGCGCGCAGGCCTTGCACCAATCAGGTCCTTCCAGAAGCGCTGCTTCCGCGGCCGCAGTGTACGACAGCGATGGTACTTTTCTTCTCTTGCATAGCACATAGCATGAGTCGATCAGGATATGTATACAGTACGTGCATAGGACACCGATGACCACGGTTCCTACGGAGCCGACTACGTAACCAGCGTTGGAGAAGGCTTTGGGCATGGCCAGGATGCCCGTACCCAAACTGCCCTTCATCAGGTGAAGAAACGTTTCCAAGTTCCTGTTGAAGATAATTCTATTGTTATTCTTTATAATGTGGTAATTTTATAGTACTACTACTTATTAATATAGTAATATGATATAAAGCGTCATGTATATAGGTAAGATCTATTTGCATCTTTGGTCTGTTATGGCGCCATATCCATGCGTGTGTTTTTTGGCACAAATATTGAAGTTCTTTATTCTGCGTGCCAATCAAAACATAGTTGATTAACTAAAATCACAGGTAAATAATTCAGGGTGTGCATTCTTAATTGGGCCACCTTATGATAATAAACAATATTGTGCATTTATTTTGAGTATTAGGTATATATTGGGAGAAAATGTCTCTGCGTTACAAAGCAACGTAAAATATATCTATATGACAATAGTAGTCATATCCGCAAACATCTGAATCTTTGTTACTTTGAAATGCTTGACGTAAACCATTAGGTGGTAACAATTTTTATGAAGACGTTGGTCTACAACTTGGAAAAAGTGAATTTTTTTTCAAAATCCTTTTTTGTTTCCTCTGTACCTATATATCTAACACAAAATAGGATTGATTTGTTAGGTAAGATCACTAATACCTACATAGACGTGTCTAATTGGAAGTTAATTTATACAAAACTTGCTACTACTTCTACGGTTTTTTAATACATAAGAGTTAGTATATATCTGATGCCAGTACCAATTTCACGTAGGTAACTAAGTTATGTATCCTAGTAACTGATGAAATATTCTGTACACGATATGACAAACGGAAGAATTTCTTGTGTGAGTTGCAAGGCTGAAGTCATTGCTTGTGGGCGTGATTCGAATCCTAATTACTTTTAATGTGCGAATCTATAAAGTAATTTTGCCATTTTTATAAGTTGCACATTATTGTATTGTTAGATTATAATAAATCACTATATCGTAGATAAAATGACGCAATGTTTTGATCTCAATCTCTGTCATATTTAAGTACATCGAGTATTGCAAACAGGACTGTTGATTGAAATCAAATTATTCATAGTTTGTTGTAGTTTTCCGCAATCATAGTTTGTTTGAATATCAATGTAGGTAAGGTGCAACGCAGGTTCTTTACTGCACCGCAGGCTAAGACAACTCCACACGTGTTTTACTCACGTGTCAGAATACGCAATTAATGTAGATTTGATAAATAATAACATACATGATGAAAAATAAGTATCTACAAAATAATTTGAATAATCCTTTCTGCGTCATCGATTTTCTTGAGGGGGGAAAATCATCTAATGGCTTCTCTCGCCCGGGTGAGGCGAGAGGAGTGTTAGGCTCTTACTGACTTAAAACCACTCCTTTCCTACTCCTACTCTTCCCTTCGATATGTCCTCCGCGGCTCCTCTGCATCACCCTAAGATTGACTGGTTTGTAAATAAATGCGAATATTTCGAGAAGAACCAAGAAACGTTGTCGTGTTGTGTTCAAGTATGCTATTATTTTAATAAAAATAAGAAAACGTTTACCTTTGAATATTTTATATCAATGATAATTATAAGCTAAAAATGTGATTTGAATCATTATTTAAATTCAAATTCAAATTCAAATTCAAAATTTTTTATTGCATATCATGTGTACAATTGTTGGTGTTACATGAGGTACAGTTTCAACATGAAACCCGGCTAGGGCACAGCAACATATGGAGCAAAATATGATCTAACTAAACTACTATTAATAGTTATTATATTATAACATAAGAAATGTTGTTTTCGTACTAAACATTAAAGAAAGAAGATATTTATTTATTTTATTATAATATGTATTTGCATAAATTTCTTAATAATGGTGTTATTGTATGTAGTACATGTATTATTATATTTAATATGATTTTTATTGAGTAGGTAGGTATGCATTGAGTATTAAGTTTTGCTGCTAGCTTGGTCATCAAAAAACTCATTAAGGGTGTAGTAACATTTTTCAATGAGGAACCGTTTTAATTTATTTATAAATACGTTATATTTTTCTGCTTCTTTTATGTATTTCGGTACAGCGTTATATATTTTTATTGACATTACTAGGGTGCCAGATGAATACATATGAAGTCGGGAGCTCGGTAGGTTTAGTCTGGTTTTGTGTCTTAAGTTGTAGTCTGTCTTATTGTCACGTGTACTGTAATATTCTGGGCGGTTTCTGACAAATTTACAAATTTCCAAGATGTAGGTGCATATCAAAGTAAGTATTTTATGATTTCTAAAATGTGGTCTACAGCTGTCGGTTTGTTCTATATTTGTCATTATTCTGATTAACTTTTTTTGCATGGTAAATATGGTCTGTGAGTCTGTACTATTGCCCCATAGTATTATGCCATAGCTTATCCACGCTTGGGCATAAGCATAATATGTGGCAAGTGCGGTTTTAAAGTTGGTGGATTTTTTTATTTCATATAGGGCGTAGGAAAATTTCGATAACTTTGATTTAATTTTTTGTATATGTGATTTCCAGTTGATATGTGAGTCTATTGATAAGCCTAGTAAGGTAAATTGATTTACTTGTTCTATTTGGATGTTATTGAATTTGAAGTCAATTTTAAGGGGGGATTTTTGTTGGGGGTGAAAAGTCATAAGTTTGGTTTTAGAGAAGTTGATTTCTAAATTATGGTGTTCCATCCAGTTTACTGCTGCAGAAAGGAGAGTGTTAAGCTTATTATCTAAGTTCATATTGTTTTGGCATGACGTGATAAGTGATATATCGTCAGCAAACAGGACGCATGGTTCTTTTATGGTCTTAGGGAGGTCATTGATGTAGATGAGGAACAAAAGGCACCCTATTACACTTCCTTGAGGAATTGATGCATTTACAGGTTTGCATTCAGATCTTATCTTAGATATTTGTTTGGTTTGATTATCAAAATATTCTATCTCCACAAGTTGTTCTCGGTCTCTAAGATATGAAACAAGCCAATTTAGAATTTAGAATTTAGAATCTTAACACAGTCGAACTGCAATATTAGAAATAGAGCAGTAAGTATAGGAACGTTTTATTTACTTGTAATTATATATCAGCATTCCAGGCATGTTTGTTATCAATATAAGGAAAAATCCTTGTTGCCATTTGTCATCGACTTTTTAAAAGGAAGCTGGATAAGGAAATGTTCTTACGGAAGTTAATTTAGTGATTAATGCTTAGTCAGAAGTGCCAATATTGTAGGATAGCCTTGAAGATGTGATATCTCATGCCCTAGGAAAACGCATTTAAATATTTTCATGGAAAAAAAAGCATTGACTGACATGTACAACTTATTACAAAATGTGGAAAATAAAATAAGCAGTCACACAGGTCCACTAATAACAACGCTTTTCCAATCAATTCTACTAACAAACGTTGAAGTGTGAAGGCTAACACTATTTGATAAATAATTCAACTATAAATGAGTTGTACTGATTGCCGCCACCTGTCCAACACACTAGGATCTATACTTAAGTTCAGTAGCGTAAGTACAGGGCGGCTAGCCGGCAAAATGCCGCAGGCCGTTGCCTCGCCTTGAAGGGACACCGTTCAGGAGTTTTCATTCTGAACTTATCTGTTATTTATCTGGAACGTGATCTTCTCTGTTTTTTATCGGGAACAGGGTCTCATCGGATGGGCCCCTACTACAAGTACCACGGGCCTCGAACGGTATAGTTACGCCACCGCCTCTATACCTATAGGGCCACCTAAGGGTACAGAGCCGGGTGGCTTCAAAATAGAACAAAAGTTATTGTGGAACGTAGTATTTACTTATTTAGGAAATACCTACAAGTTGACATTGAAATTGCCAATCATTTACAGTTTATAAGCAGTCTTTTTACAAGTGGACAGTTTACTTAAATACTTAATGGCAAATCAAAGAAAGATTGACGTTGACTTTATGATTACAATTCAAAGTCTAATTTCTTTATTCATGTAAAAAATGTAGGTACTTTTTACTAAGCAAACTAAGTATGTATGTACCTAGTTACTTATTCATAAGTTTAGGTACTTTTATTGTAATAAGACTGTGATTTATGCTTGTTATGGGGTACCCTTATTCAATAATGCGTTGTCTGAGAACCAATCCACGTTCTCCTAGGCTATGGTATCACATTACTCATTAATCTCATAGTGAACTATCAACCAATGGACGGCAAACAATCAGTGAACATAAACTACTAAATTACCTTGAAGACTTAGTAATTTACCACTTGCAACGAGTCCCGCCCTCACGAACAAATTACCCCTACTTCTACTTACCCACCCTTAGGACGTTAGGACATTTTACACAATACTCTATCTTGGGATATAACAAACGAGGAGCATGTTAAAAGAGTAAGTAAATTGTTTACGTTTATTGGTTGTCTCTCGTAACTATTTGACGAGGTAACTTGACTAGTTTCAAGCCACGCTGGGGGCTTACCAATATTCATGATCAGCACGACACTGCAAACGTCGTGCAACCAACTCTTAGTTTGTAAAACAGTTAAGTGAGTACCTAAGCCGTGAGTAATAACAACATGTACCTATTTTTTATGGAACTAACTTCAGTATATCCAACAAAATAGAATTGCCAAAGTTAGTACCTATATTCTGTAAAATTCTTAAGAATCAACTTGAGAACCACCTCCGTTCATATAAATTAAACTTAGGAGAATTTTATTAAAATTACTATAATGCACAGTAGCAATGGCTAACGTATTAAACGATAATTATGTATTATTGGTGTTTAATGATGATGATATTACATTTTAAGCAGTAAATAAAGAGATAATGTCGAATATCAAGGAATATTTTAATTGAAGTTATTTTTTGGTCACAATAAGTCCGTCGCGATATTAGACTGACAACAGACAAACATAATTTACTTTCGAATGTATGTTAATCCTATACCTATCGTCTATAAGTACCTACAATATCCAGTAAAAAATTACAGCACCTAGACAAGTTACTTATAATTTCGTGTGTTAGTGCAAATAAACTTAGATAAGTTGGTATGTTATGTATGTACTTACGTTGTAGGATGGTCCACGACTCTGTTGTCATAGGGCTCGTACTCTTCAACCTCGGGAATGGTCTTCTCATTCATGTTAACGAGGAAGATGCTCTTGTCTCCAGGCCTCTTCTTCTCATCCTTCACCGGTGACAGGCTGCCGAAGAAACAAAACGATAGATTACCGTCTTTTATTAAATCATCAGTTGATCAGGGGTGTCCGAAAGTTAAACCTTCAATAAGTTCAAATTTCACTATCACTAGTTCACAAAACTATTGTAACAAAATAACAGTGACGTGTTCAAAACTTCGCATTAAGCAAAATATCTTTTGAAACCGTTCAACTAAGGTTCATTGTTCTCACTTACTTTGGTCACTCGCAAATAGCCACTATTTTTATACAAATACATTTTTAATTTACCTTCCATTTGAACAAAATTATACTTTTGCAAATAGTGATATTAAGCTAAAGGTTACGTGCACGTACCCCTCCATCGCCCCTTCAGTTTGCCATTGCTAGGAGACCGATGTTGCTGACTCTATTGATTCGCAGCAACACAGTTAACGTCCATGTACAAGTGACGTACAAACCGCAATGATTATAACACCACCCCGTAGACAACTACCAGCACCCGCTTCAAAGGGTTGTCAACTAACCTACATTCAGTTCAGAATGGAGGAGTTATGAAATAGAACAGAAATATATCTGGATATCGATTAGTAAACTAAGCCATAGGGCTTGTTAGTCGGTCGTGCCATTATTTCAAACTTTGCAGTCATTATGCAGCTACCAAACGGTCGCCGCCCCGCATCAACTATTTATAAAACATTTATAAATTCACTTGTAATTATTTACAATATCGATTTTAGAGCTTTCTTTGATAGTGTAAGGCTTGAAGTGGATCATGTTACTGTTTACAGATCTAGCTTAGACGACTCGGCTAGTTTTACCAAAACTAGTTTATTGTGATATGTTTACAAACAAAATCCCGTTTGAAAATTAATGAATCGGAAATTAAGCTGTAGATTTTATTAAAAGACTTTCTTAAATGCACTTTTATTGGCATAAAATGCTAATGCAGGCGCGGATAGAAGCGGAGGTCAGTAAAATCAAAAGTTGTAGGTATAATTTGGATTTTTGAATAGGATCTAAAGTTTACCGGTATCTTGCTTTACATATATTTTTATGGCTTTAGATATAAACGTAGATTGCAGTTTAAGTAGAACGAGTTTGCTAAATGTTTTGAGATACCGGTTGTTGGAGACTTTTCGAAACGTGTTCCGTTTTCGATATTCAATTTTGGGTGTGCACTAGCAGAATGGCAGTGGTAGATGTCTCACGCTAACCTGTCCAACACCAAAGTAGGCACGAACAAATGGGTGATTTATATCATAGCGTATTGTTATTGTGACAATATGTAATTAAGGGTTGACGTCAATTGCCTGGACGATCTAGTTCTCATGTCGCTCTATCAGGTCCAAGGCGGAAAGGTTCTGTATGAATTGACCCTATCGTGCGAACGTTTATTTATTTTAAATTATTTTTCCTTCAAGCTAAATTGGCAAGTGTGACTGTTGCTTTCGATTTATTTGTTCAACCATTTGTTAAGTGTGTCTCTGAGGGGAAACACATGTCTCAAAGATGAACATAATGTGCGTGCTCGTATAACTTTTATTTACCATTTTTGAATGTGGCTGCACTCGGATGTAATACCCTCGCCTGTATAAGATTTGGTCGATAACATAATTGGAGGAAAATGTTTGTTAAACTTAACATGTGCGTAGAGCTGCGAGAAATAAAATACGTGATGATATTATCAATGTAGAACACCACTTCTATTCAAACTATATGGTCATAATGACACCTATGACGTCACAAATTGGTCAATTTCTCCATAAAAAGAATAAATCAATAGTAAGTAGTTAATGTGATTGTAAATGACAAGTGTTGGTGCCATACATTTGTCACTAGCCTAGTTCTTTCAGTGGGTATCGTAAGTTATCGACTTCACACTTAACAGAGATCGGACGACAGCGCTTTTTTTATATACTGTCATCTCCAGCCTTTGGATCTCGCCTTAAAGCGGAACGATTTTAGCAAGCCCTTATTAGGAAGATGATATCTATAGCCCTGTCTGGACTGTCACGGGCTGCTAACGCTGATGGTGATGCTGAATGTGGATGTAAATATTCACCTTTGTGGTAGGAAGTCGTCTGGCTCGAATGACGGGTTGATCATGGGGCCGCTCTGCCGCCGAGACCATTGTTCTGGCTCCTGGAATAAAACATGGCTTTTAATATTGCTCTCGCCACAGTAACTGAAAGAATATGGTAGCATTTATAAGAAATATGCATTCATACATCATTTTTCTTTGTCGGACGGACAACTTAGGGACATATAAACCTTACATAATTATGCGCTTCACGAATGAAATAATATTAGAACACGTTTTGAAGATCATCATAGTTTTTTTTTAAGATGACTCAATGCAGTTTATTTGACATTCTTATTGCAGAGACCAAAAGATGTTTATATTATGATGCCATAACATTTTAATTCTACCGAATTAGAGGTAAGCAGAGCTTAAGCACAGACTGCTGAACAACATGTTTTTCGGAATCGAATTCGAATCCCATTCGAACTCTGTGGTCCACAAATTGAGATGTGTAGGTATGTAAGGTTTTGACCGCAATAGAAAACTGTTGAAGGAAAATCTTCCACTAACGTCGGTTACCGATGATGGCGTTTAATGAGGTAAACACTCAAGAAAACACCAGTGTATGTACCTTAAAAAAAAGCAAAGTTTTCGCTAGTTATATTTGCAGTTGGATGCGATAGTCTATCTATTTATTATCGCAATTCGGGCATAGAAACTACCACGTTATAATGAATTTAGATCAACCAAATCTGTGATATCTCGCGCTAAGATTGGCTAAGAATTTGTTTATTATATGGGGTGCGCCCACGCATACAGATCGACGAAGTATCACGGTCGGTGATCTATTTGCACGCTGCTGTATTTTGGCGCTCGTCACGTGTGTGTTTGTTACAATTTCATTACAAATCATTTTGGTCCCAATAAATAGTCAAGATTTTCCAAGAATAATATAAGTACCATCGTTATTTTTTTTGATTATGATCTCAATTTAATGTGCATACTTGTTTCAATTCGTATTTAATATGAAATGGAGACATTCCATTCACATCTACAATAATATTATAAATAGATATTCTAATTAGCAAACATTTAAGTTATACAGTCGTCAAAATTTTCCTTAAAGTAAATGTTGATGATATTTATTGGAAAATTTCCCACCCAGAATATTTATTTCATCGGAAATTAACAACTGATGACCTATATAGTTACAAATTGTCATTTTCAGATTATTTTGATGACTCACGAAGTCATGAGTAACGATCATTTCGAAGCAAAGACGACAGATTAATAATTTATGTACACATACTATATACAATATAAAGTACCTTAGTACCACTTACAGGTACCTATAGAAATTTCTTCCTGTGGACCTGTGGCAGGAAAAGTAAGAATGATACAAGACACTGAGTGCCAAATAAATAATAAACTGAAATATGACATAGAAAACATAATTAAATCTAAACAGATTCAAAGAATGCATTTCACATACATAAAAGTAAAATAATAAATATAATACATAAGTATGTAATTATATTATATTTATTTAATCTAGGTAAGTACCTAGATTAAATAAATATAATATAATTATGTACCTATATATAATAAATAAATATAATATATTAATTTATTTATTAATACATGTATAATATGGAATATACAATCATGAATAGGTGGGTACTTAGGTACCATTTAGGTTATTTTGGTTTATGGAATTATTTAAAATATTATCGTAATGAACAATGGTATTTGTTTACCTTTCAATTATTATGTTTGCGGTTAAACTTTGTAGGTAATTTTGTTCCGTGCAATAATCAAGTGTGGGAATTTTAGCTAGGTATTATATGATTTAATTTATTTAATTTCATTTCTATTGTTCTTTTAGAGAAACACAGCTGAAATGAACTGAACTTTCTAAGAACCGTAGCTTCTATGCAAGTTATAATTAATCGATATCAAAACTTATCCAATTGTAAAACTTTCAACCGACCCAGTTTATTTGACTGAAAATTGGTAGGGAGGTATCTTAGAACCAGGAGACTGACATAAGATACCTACTCCTTAATCTTAGTTATTCCCGAAAATCCTACGGGAACGGAAAACAACGGTAATGCGCGCAGATAGGTTCGAGGTCACGGCCACAATAGCGGGGGTATAATTTAAAAGTCGATTCTTAAACCACCTATGTACATATGTGGTAGGTGCTAAAATATTATAATTATCAAACCATACATTAACCATAAGTTCCTGAGAAATGTTTTGATGTAAAATCCTAAGTACTAATTAACACAAACGCTTCGTGAGATTTCTTTATAAAATACATTTGTTTATTAGACAAGCAAATATGTTTTAAGTTGGTATTTATTTGTGTGTCGCTGTGTAGAACTATTCAGACACATATTGCGTTCGTAGGTATAATAAAATTATGAGATTTTGATAAAATATAACGAGAATATTCCAGTAATTAGTTAGGATCAGAAGATGACGTGACGTGGCCAAATTGGTTTTGGTTTGTACATATTTATGAAAATATAGTATATGCTCATAAACACATTAGTTCATAATTTAAAAGTGTAGTGATATATATGTAGGTACATAATTTCAACAATATTCTCTACGTAGTCAAGTAGGAAATGCACGTTTCATCTAGATTTTTTTATAATATTGACGTGTAAAAGTGCTATTGTGTGGACTATTTATAAAAATAATCATTTCATTTCACTTCATTGAGCGAGATCAGGCGCAAGCGCATACTAAGCCAAATGTCAAGATTCTAGAAGTTTCTTAGTAACATTACGGAGTCCATGCTTATGCTGTTGATTAAAGAACTAGTTTCTAGAAATTTAGGGGTATAAAGGCCATGTTCATTGCAAGACAATAGGTTTATCCCTGATTACAATAGTTTTAGGATATAACTGGTGAAAACTTGTTGTTTAGTAGGTACCTAGATGTAAAGGTCCCCCAGATCATCAAGAGCCAACTAGATATAAATCCCACACTCCCTAGTTTTTCTCCCCAATAGGCTAGGTTGAATGAAAAAGGTACATGTATCTTTTCGGGAATTTAAAACAATGATAGTATGTTAACGTATCAACAAGCATAAATAAATTAGATGATTTGAGACATCGGTCTCTACGTACGTATGAATAATATAAAGGAACGACTATAAGTAGGTCCTAAATAATTATAGTTTTTATTAATATTTTGCTTAAAAAGGTGATTAGTTTTTATATATTAGCCATCAAAAGTGCAATGACTTTTTAGTCCAATATGAGTGAACAAATAACTGAAAGGAATCTTTCTGGCAATGTAAGTCTCTCCTCATATGGTAGAAAGGCGACAAGCTCGTCACCCCTATTTACAAACAAAAACAACATTGTCAGATTGTTGTCAGGTCTTGGCTGACACTCAGACGGTCAGTTGTTTCAAACAGTCTATGAATGCGAAGGGGTTGCCGGTGACGCAGTGAAATTGGATTGTACCAGAATCATTTCATAATTCAGCTTATATGTATATTTGTATCGAGAGATCTTATTGTAAACAACGAGTTCCATACGTATATAACTTCACGCCTGTCTCCTATTGGGGTAAGCAGAGACTATGGAACGCCAATTACTACGATTCTTACATACCTCTTTCGCTTCTAAATTCAACGAATTTCATTCTTCTTTTTAACAGTTATAATCGATTTGTCTGTGGATTTGTCTTTAATAGGCAGATTTCTTAAAAAGCTTGTTTTAAACATTTCTATCATTAGTAGCCAATTACCGGCCGATAGGCTATTGACACTACTTGATTTTTTTCTAAACCTATTATGGAACGTTATCTATTCAAATGAAAGCTAGTTTGTCTCTTGCTCAGACCACTGAACACGGATTTTAATTCTAAGATCTAGATAGGATCCGGGTATAGGCTGTTAACAAAATTGGGTGTCAAAATCGAGAATAATGCATTCGAGAAGCGCAAGCAGTAGGTTTAATAAGTAATTAAACTAAGGACCTGCCTCAATAGATATTTTCGTATGCAACTCAATATTTTAGTTGTCAACACGCCAGCAAGTATTATCTATCGTTGTATTATTAAAATAATAATAAATGTACAGTTGACTATAAAAACCAGTCTCCATGATAATGTGTATAACAAATCGCATTATGTTACGTAATAATCGCAACTTCTCAATGTGTGCGCATATTATGTTGTAATTAAATGTTATTAAGTCTTGAGTTATGCATTTACTTATCACGAACCGGCTGTAACCGCTTCTGGAGACAACTTATCATGTATATTGCAATCACTGATTCCTTCGATACATGGTATTAACATACCGAATGTATCAATGCTAAGTTTTGTGTACCTGCAACAAGGTTTGCAATTAAGAAACCTATTATAACTTTATGAGGCTAGGGGATCAAATCAAAATGAAGCCTTGAATTTGGTAAACACCCAAAGTGTGGTTGAGCCAACAAAACAGAGTATAGACAATAAACAGAGTAGGCAGTTTCTCTAAGAATATAATGGGAAAAAAGTGAAAACGCAAGCGAGTTATTGTAATTTGGACACAATATAGAACCGCTAACCAGCCTACATGAAAAGCTGACAAATGGCAATGACACGAGGTGCCTTTCAAGCAGCAAACTGTACAACAGACGCCAATGCCCGGCGCCCGTATATCACAATGGAGAAAGGATTTTAAGTAGCCGTTGTTATTCATGTTCGTAATATGCGTTACAAACTAACCTAATTGAAATTACATTGGACGTATGTATGAAACAAGTTTTGCATAATTCGCATCATGCCTCACTGCATGCGAGGATATCTGCTTTTGACAATGCTAATACTCAGTCTATGATACTTCATTCAATATAATGTTACCCAGTGTTCAGTATAATTTTTTTGTCACTTCATTTCTTTTAATCACGACTTATTAAGTTGGGAAACGTACCTTTGCAACTTTGAGGGATGCAACGTGTGATGTCATTTTTCCGCAATAAGAAACAGAACACAACCATTTAGTTCACTGCGAGTAGAGACGGTAGTCAAGACACGAGTGATCGCAACAGATTACTCTGAGCTATGATGACTAACTTAACGCATACTTAACAAGAGGCCTACGGTTCAG